TCATTTAGCATAATAATTTCATGGGGGGGTGTTATTAATGCTATTGACCGTGATTGGGAGTATGTTTCTAGCCTTTGAAGTTTCGGGCAAGATTTGGCAAAGTCTCTCAAGACAGACTCTGGAGTTGTAAAAGGGACAAGATCCTGTCAGCGAATAAACATAGCAATTTCTACATTCTTGGGCAAAGCCATACTCACAGAATAGAGTACCATAAGGTTTCATCATTTCTCCCCACATTAAGGAAACCTCACAACTTACTTCTTTCTCAGTTTCCTCCTATGTTCGCTCTTCTTTTGATACCATGTAATTAATTGCACTCTAATATTGGTGCAGTGGTTTGATTATAATTCTAAATTACAGTAGCAGCAAGAAGTCACTTAGTTGTTATATATCCATATAAAAGAGGAGACAAGTAACCATCGTGGAACCCCTTTCAAATGAAGAACACATATTGTTCCAACTCTAAGCATTGCTCAGATGTGCAGTGCACTAGGCAATAACACTGAAATTGTAAATTAATCTCAGGAAAAATTTGAGGATTAGTATTTGTGTATGTTTTCCTTGAATTTTAACTTTTCAAAGCATAGAAATTAAGAAGTAAAACAAGCTCCTATTTTGTCTTAAAACGGACTCTCTAGGTTTTGAGCTATAGTTAAATTTAAAATTAAAGTTTGCATGTAAGATTTCTCCTAATTCAAACTCACAGATTCATATAAAAATGTGGACATTGTCACTGTCCTTTTCCTCCCTCTGTTCCACCTCAGCTTCTGGTTTCTCTGCCCCGACACCCTCTCTTTCAGCATCTGGAGTCACTCCACTCCACCCCCAACTTCACGAAACGCTGCTTTGCTTCAACAGAAACTGCACTTTCTATGGCTTAAAAGAAAATGTGAATCAAGATATCTCAAACACTAATGGGATATATTAAAGCAATTTAATTATTTTAATCTCTTTCATATATCATGAAATTATGTAGAACAATTTCATTTAAGTGTTACTATCACTGTTGAGACTTCAATTGTGAATTGTTATACCAGCAAATATTGAAGAACATGAGTGCTAGTGAAGTTCTATTGCAGTGTATGCGAGTGAGGACCAGAATGACACCAGGAGGAAAATTTCCATCATAATCAACTTATTCATTCTATAATAACCTCCTTAGGAATCATACTTCAAGATTATAATGTTCTGTGATTAGTTTCAGTCCAAAGTTAATGTTGTTCTTTGAGTTAGTGTTTGCTTTACTCAAGTTATAACACTCTCACATAGAGCAAGAATAATTTTAATTATAAAATAATTATAAAAATAAATTGAATAAAATAAATGAACAATAGGTTAAAGGAAGCTGAATTAGAACATTTAAATACTACATAAAGTAGGTCTTCTTTGAAAGACAAAATACATATGAAAGTTAAAAGTAAGGAAAGTCAGCTTCCATGAAACAAAAATTACTTTTCAGTTAATTTTAACTCATAATTCCCTGTTTCATAATAAATGTTTTCTGCATTACATTTAACTTGTTAAAAGGCATGAGTGCCTAGTTATCTATACCTATGTGTATGTTTGGGATAGTTGGTTTCTCTGATTATTTTTCAATGATTATGTTTTACACAAGTGAGTATCCAAAAGCAAAAATATAAACTATATGTATTTTCAGTCTTATCATATCAACGTAGACAAATCAAAACTTAGAAAAGTCTGAATCTTCACCATTAACTCATGCAATTTAAGCATATGTATAATTGGAGTATGTTAATAAGATTATAAATAACAACATTTTTAGACAAAATATACAGTTTTAAGGGTGAGAGTCTTTCAAACTTTGAAAGGTTCTCACCTTTATATCAGATACAAACCTAGATATTTAATGCATATCTAGATTAATATTACATTAATGTAAATATTTCATATTTTTTCTGATATATAAAAATCATATTAGCATAAACTGACAGCAATAAAAATATAGCCATGTAATTCATAAAAGTAGGGTAGCAAATGAAATACATGAGAAATTACATATTAGTTACAAAGTAAAAAGAAGATGTACTCTTATTCATTCTAAGTTAATTTAATCCCAGTCATAATTATTTAGTACAAGAGGAACCATTCACTTTCTACCAAATAAAGTAAACAGTAATCTGCTCTGGATCATTTGCTTTGTGTTCAGTCATTATTGGAAACTTGTGTGAGAAACTTGAAGAGATAACAGTGTCAGCAAATTCATAGAATCACTTACATGCAGGCATATCATATGTAATGGTTTCATATAAAGGTCTCCACAAAATATGTATACCCACATACAAATGTATATGTACCTATAGGATGTCAGTTTAACTCAGCAGTATTTATTTTACAAATTTTCATTGTAATTTAGATTATTTAATAAAAAACAATTTGATTTTTGACTAGGGATTGTTCAGAGTTAGGAGAATACTTTAGATATAAAATGTCATTATTTTGGGGCACTTATTAAACAGTCAAAATCTGGAAATTTAGTGTAAAACAGTAAAGTGATCACTTCTAACTGGTAAAATATTGCAGTTGCAGAGGGTGTACAGTGAGCTGGGAGCAGGAATGGACCACATTTGAGGTCTTAAGAGCAATAGATGAAGCTGCTACAGCCCCAGTGCAATACCATGGTCTTCACAATATTTTTTATTTCCACTAATTTTTAAATTGCTTTTTCTTACTAGAAACTAATGATTTATCCAACTGAAATGTAAAATCGACATATTTTAGCCATTTCCATTTTCAACTCCTTTTTTTGTTCCAGATTTGATTAACCCCATATATAAACTTAACAACACTAACACATGGAGCACTGAGTATACAGATATGGAAAGGGAAATATAAATTATATTCCAAAAATTTAAAGAATGTATTAATTAAGTTTTGAAGTAACAGAGTTTATGGAAATTAAACATGTTAGAGGGTTACAAATCATTTCTAAGATTTTTTTCATAATATTTTTTCAAAAGTTTCTTTACATTACTATCAGATATTGTTGGAAGCAATGAAAAAAATAAAAGCTACAAACAGTAATTTGTCACATATTTGTAGCTAGGATACTGTTTCAGTTGCATTTTAATAATTATCAGCAAACAGAATTTCAGACTTCAAAGTAAATAATCATCAGAAAACCCACCAAGCTTACAAGAATAGTCCTTGAATTTCTAATTCCACAGAGATAAATTACGAATCATTTTTGTAAACTTTCCCTCATAGTTGCTTATTCAAATTCAAAAATTAGAAAACTCTCCAATCTTTATAAAAATGACAAATATCCACAGTAAGTTCATTAAAAATACATATTGTTTACATGTTAGTGAATATATGTAGTCTTATCAGTTCTTCCCAAACAATTATATTGTAAGTATTCTTTACTGTTATGGTCTATATTTGAAAAGATTTTGAAGTGCCATTCTGTGGCTAAATCCTCTGAGTTTAAACATGACATCAGCAAGCCATGATGAAGCCCTTTATGCTTCACTATAAATCTACTTCTTTCCTAGGAGAGATTAGCAAGTGAAATTGGTGGACATAATTTTAACCACATAATTCCCTGTTCCATAATAAGTTTTCTCTGTATTATATTTAACTTATTGAAAGTTGCTTTACTGAGCATATCAACATGATAACACTGAATGTTATGTTTGGATCCTTCATCCTCAAAAATGGATGACGTTGGCCACATGGGTGCCACACTTTTTTGGGATGCTCTTCTCAGAACTCTTTTCCAGTTCTGTATCAATTTTCACAATCCATATACTCCCAGGAAAGCAAAGTAACTTGCTACAAAATCAGAATCTGGCAGCTTTTACATATCTTTAAGTTTTTTTTTTTTTTTTTAGGGCATTCTTTTCCTATTACAGAAACATTCTGAGCATCCTTTGAAATACTTATAGACTCTTCCTATTTTTGTTCATCCAAAGGGGTGGGTGTATGGTACTCCTAGGGAGGTGAAAGGGTCTGAACATGAGAGTTTCTTCATCTAAGAACTCCATTTCCCCCTATGTGAGAAGGTAGGAAACACAAAGAGAGCAGGAGAAATCAATGAGCTTTTGCATTTCCTGGGGATGGTAAAAGACTACTAAATCAGATTGTGGTTGCTAGACCCCTGCTGAGAAAACTGAGGCTGAAAAAAGTAAGGAACCCTGTGAGGAGCTGTCAAGACCATGGAGGGAGTAGCATGGAATTATTGACTGGGAGCTTTTAGGAAGTGATTTAGAAAAAGTCGGTTGCCTTTACTCTAGCAAGAAAAACTCAATACTGGAGAACTTGGAACACTGAAACCAGGGAACTTGCTGTGGGAAGAGACAAGTAAAAAGATTCACCACTCCATTAGACCCTCTCTCAAGGACACCACTCTGGGAGGGGCAATTACTAGACTGCTTAAATGTCAGCCATCCAACTGACTTGAGTTAGCAAATTTTACCAACAGAATATTTGCGATCGCTGATGTTTGGCTGGTTTTGGAGGCCATTTTAAACTAAAACTGTTTAAAATATCCATTTATAAAGGTTATTTTAATCACAAGAAAGCGCAGCAGAGAAGAATGGGAAAATGTTTGCAAAAGTGGCAGCTCTTTCGATGTTAGACCATGCTTATTTTTTTTCTCTATCAAATTTCCTAAGTTTCATTCTTAAAAACGAGTTCACTAAAAAAGAAATCCAAAAATTAACTTTTGAAGCTACGAAAAATCATGAACCTTTTCTCAGTCTGTTTTCCCATCATTTGAGAATACAACTCACCTCTGACAATTGTGTCCGCGTGCATCTACATTTAAGTGTAAAACCCATGGACTTTTGTTTTATAAGTGAGTTGGCATCATATTTTCTTTCTCTTTCTTCCCTTCTATACCTCAGCCATTAAAAACAGTAACAAGAGTAGTTTATTTGAATCAGGATGGGTATAAAACAAAGCCTCTCTCAATCAAGAACAAGTAAACTTTTGCAAGCAGAGAAACAGACACTCAAAATACTGCAAGGAAGTAAGCTTACCTTTTGCTTGTTCTGTTCATCTTAATATTTCAAGTGCTACAGTAGCAGTGTCCTGCAAAGCTTCCCCACTTGGCAGAACTGCATGAACTGATACAGATTCAGAGAAAGCAAATAGGAGCTTTACCAACGAAAATGTGGAAAATCCAAGAATTAAAGTGCCGTTATTTCGATTTGAGTAGAGTACAGTCTATTTCTTAGAATATGTGACTCAGTGCATATTTCTTTGTCATTGTTTTGAGGTTCAGTTAACCATAAAGAGGGAAGAGAGCTCAGTGAAGCATGGCTGGCTTGACAATAGGCTTTCTGCAGGTTAGCCAAATTTAACTGGCAAAAGCTCGCCCAAACCCTTTTGTCTGCTACATTTGCACCATAATGTCGGTCCTTCTTCGCATATTTCACAGATCAAGTCTGACCATTTATCCCCAAAGATGGAAAAAGTCATTTCTGGGTCTGTCTATAAAAGTTACTTTATAAAGTATTGTGCAATTCTATCACAAAAGCTACAAAGGGGGAAAGTGCACTTCACATGGCCACAATTAGGGCTTCTGTTTCCGCTCTCCTGCCCTTGTCAAAGCTTTGATTTAGTTTTCCTCGGTTTTGTCCAAGGGTCATTACAGATGTCTGCAGATGATTAGCATCTCCCCCCAACAGCCCCTCTCCAACTGGGTGATTAGCAAATTAAAACTTTGCATTCTTTTCTGTCTACTGAGACGTATTGGGAAAGATTAGCAAATGTGGTTAATTGTGGAGACCTAAGGGGGCATCAAGGTGTTTGTCTCAGAATTTTGGAAGCTAAATATTAAGTTAGCAATTGGGAAGCCCATTATGTCACATACTCCAGTATTTAATGAAGCATTCAACTCTGAAACTTAGAAACAATTGTATCCTTGATGGGGGGGCTCCAGGAACATTTTGCATCCATGCCATACCTAAATGGTGCCAACCTGATCCATTGAAAACTGGATTTGGTGTATACCATGAACAGTGACAGGCACATTTGCAGCTCCATTTCAGAAATTGAAACCCCTGCTCTCCATAAGGACTCAGTATAACTTTTAAGGCATTTACAACCTGTGAATTCGGGTGAATGCCAACCATAAATGAGGTATCCAGGAGAAATGATCCAGGAGAAATTGAGTCTTCAGTTTCAACTGGCAATTGAAATATCAGAAAAACATTCCTGGCTCCATCTTTGTTTTAGGAGAGCAAATGTTTGATTAGGTTAGCAGACGAAAGAGGAAAAAGCTTTGGCAGGCTTACCCCAACCATATAGGAGATATAGAATCTACAGAGGGATTGGGCAAATGAGGCCCAAATGTCAGGCATTCATTCAAAATAGACATCCTGCAAAACATATTTCTAAATGGTAACCACAGGAGAGCATAACCAATTTTTTTTTTTAAAAAACTGGGTTCCGTCTCTTCTTCATTTTTCTTATTATTATATGGTAGTGAATCAATCATGTAGGCACAAATATCTCACAGGGATATTCATTGGAAAACGAAAAGAGAGAATGTCCTGTGAAGCCACACATCGAGTCAACTGTGAAATTAAAACTCTATTGCGGGCTATCCTAATTTCAGCCTTTCTTGTCAATACAACTAATGAGTCTCAAATCATTGACAGTCAGATACTTCATGGACTGAAACCTTCTGTTTTGTGACATGGTTCCTGGAGTAGCACATAGAACAAAATGGGTTACCATTACCCTACGCCTCACTTCATCTTTCTACCAGGAAAGCATTCTCTCACTTCTAAAACAAAGAATCCTATTGATAATTTCTGAAAAGCCAAGTTTCATATCTGAGAACATCTGTGGCTTTCAGTTGTTGAGGAAAAGAAAAATAGTTTATAATGGTACAACTCAGTCCTCTTGTGATTGGCTAGAACATATGATACAAAAATATCAACATAAATCAGTAGAGTCCAGACACCTTAAAAACAAACAAACAATTCCTATATCAATATATTGACTAAAAATAACTACTGCAGCCTGCTGAGGTGAGCTAAGCACAATTCTTCATTTCCAGGATATTCTGGGATCACAAAATACTGTGTAAATCAAATGTGTTAAATCAACCAGCAAGATATGAGTTATAAACAAGGATAGTATCCTGATAAACAGCATGCTATTTTTATGATGTTATTTCTTTTATCAAAAAGTTCAAGTTCTACAGCATTTCACAGAGGAATTCCAGTTTAGTGATAAGGATACATCATTAGTGGTATAATGTGCAAATGTAAACAATAATTACTAGTTGAATGAAGGTAAACATTGCTGTACTTTGCCAATGCTGACATTAGAAATAAACGCAATTTTCAGTAGTCTTAGCATCCTCGTTTGGCAAAAGTGAAAGGGTGTTCTTGCAAATAACTCTTGTATTATTTTACCCAATATTTTTAGCATGCATTCCCATTTTCCATTTCATGTTTTGTTTCTTATCAAGAAAGTGAATATTCTCACTAAATGAGAAGAAGTACATGATCATCTCTTCTTGGCATGCAAATTATTATTTAATCAATTAATGGATATTTTCAAAATTTTCCCTCAAAACGAGTAGATGGGATCATTGCTAATTTCCCTTCACTTTTTCTTCCACATCTCGCCAGTCCTAACTATAACGAATCTTTTCCGTTCTTCACCAGCCTGCAAAGTTCTCTTTCTTTTCAGAATCCTCAGCACTTAGTGCTTGAATCTCATTAGCTCTTCCCCTCTATACTATTTTGCTTTATTTCATATGCATCACATATTCCTGGTAGAATTTCAGGGGATGTTTAGGCATTCTATATGTTTCTGCTTCAATACTAGGCACATGGAGCAACTGAAAATGCACTTGCTCAGTTAGGGCTTTTTTTTTTTTTTTGAGGCCTGATCTAAAGCTTGCTGTCTATAGATATTAAGGTAGAGAAGAAAGATATGAGCATTATAGCTAGAGTCTAGAGTGCCATAATTGACAAATATAATTTATGTTCCAAACATTTCATTTTATAGAAATTCTTTAAAAATGCTCTTAAATAAACTGGAAGACAGAGAATCCAGGGCTGACTCAGGCAACCTGGACATATAGTTGCCATAGACTATTTGAGCTCTTACTGTAAGCTGTCTTACCTCCATTAACATAGTTAGTATTCATTTTAGTCCTATTAGGAAAATACTATTATTATTCCCCCTTTACAGATGAGTGAACCCAGGCACAGAGGGGTGAAACAACTGGACCATAGTCACATAGCTCATAAGTGGGGAGGCGATATTTAATGCTGACCCAGTTGACCCTATGGTTTATATTTAAAGTTGTGGGCCGGGCGCGGTGGCTCACGCCTGTCATCCCAGCACTTTGGGAGGCAAGGCGGATGGATCATGAGGTCAAGAGATCGAGACCATCCTGGTCAACATGGTGAAATCCCGTCTCTACTAAAAGTACAAAAAATTAGCTGGGCAGGGTGGCGCGTGCCTGTAATCCCAGCTACTCAGGAGGCTGAGGCAGGAGAATTGCCTGAACCCAGGAGGCGGAGGTTGCGGTGAGCCGAGATCGCGCCGTTGCACTCCAGCCTGGGTAACAAGAGCGAAACTCCGTCTCAAAAAAATAAAATAAAATAAAGTTGTCACAGAGGCTTAGTCTTTTTCTAGTCTTTCTCTGATAATGCATATGCATTTTCTGAAGAAGGAACTTCAGAAATTTATGAACCAGAGAAAATATTTCCAAGAAATAACTGAAGAAAGTATTGCATAATATTATTGCCTTAAAGCACTAAATGGGACTTTTATATATTTTTGCCCATAATAACTAATTGATTTTGACAAATTTTTATTGGACCTTTTTCAGAAAAAAGAATCAGTTTATGATCAATAAAAATACTGGAAAATACAAGATGATAGTGAGGTAGTTTTTTATTTTTATTTTTTGAGATGGAGCCTCGCTCTGTCGCCCAGGCTGGAGTGCAGTGGTGCGATCTCAGCTCATTGCAACCTCTGCCTCCTGGGTTCAAGCAATTCTCCTGACTCAACCTCCCAAGTAGCTGGGATTACGGCACCCACCACCATGCCCAGCTAATTTTTGTATTTTTAGTAGAGACAGCATTTCACCATGCTGGCCAGGAGGTCTCAAATTCCTGACCTCAGGTGATCCACCCACCTCGGCCTCCCAAAGTGCTGGGATTATAGGCGTGAGCCACAGTGCCTGGCCCAGTAGTTTTTTAAAAAATTATTTTACTCATAGTTTCCATAGTTTACTCCATAAATAATCCCATAGTTACCCCAGAGTTCACGTATTGTTTCTACATCCTTGCACATACATGTATACACATTCACAAATGCAAAAATCATAAATCATTAGTAAATCCAATATGATGTCTTAAAGATAATTCTAAAAGATCCTGTTATGAATTGAATGTTTTCATTCCTCAAAATTTCCATGTAGGAATGTTTGCCATAATCTTCAATGTGATGGGATTTGGAGGTGGAGCCTTTGGGGGGTGATTAGGTTTAGATGAGGATGTGAGGGTGAGTCCCCTGTGATGGGATTAGTATCCATAGCAGAAGAGGAAGAGAAATCAGATCTTGCTGTCTCTGCCTTGTGAGGACCAGTAAGCATGTAGCTGTCTGCAAGCCAGGAAGAGTGGCCTTAGCAGGAATCAAATCTGCCAGCACCTTTAGCTTGAGAAGTGTGAGAAACAGATGTCTTTTAAGTTCCCCCACTCTAAGGTATTTTGTTATGGTAGCCAAGGCAGACAGACCTCTGCTACACTCAGAATAAATCTAATTTTCTCAGAGTTCTTGGCCAAGAGGCCATGTATGGTGTCCCACGTCTCTTCCCCTTTGGGCTGAATTTACATTGGAATCTCTGGACTTCCTCATGTGAACAGGTTTCTGAAAGAGGCTCTATGTGCCCAGGTTTTTTTTTTTTTTTTTTAAGATAGGAAGGTCAGGAGTGGCCTTGCTAAAGGGGGAATATTTGAGTCGCCCAAACAAAATAAAATGTTCATATCTGGGGTGAGAGCATTCTAGGCAAGGGAAAAAACAAAGGCAATGCCCCTGATGTGGGAAAGTGCTTGACATGTAGGAGGAATGGGAAAGTCAGTCTCGCTGAAAGGCAGCAGTGGTGGAAAATCAGGTAAGATCTCTAGGCAAGGATCAGAACTCATGGTCTGTGTAACCTGGGTTTCTCAGCCTCAGGACAACTGGTATTTGAGCTGGGTAATTCTTTGTTCTGGGAGGCTATCTGTGAG